AGGAAGCCGGAGAACCCGGAGAGAACCCACGCTGCACGGGGAGAACATGGAGACTCCACGCAGGAAGATCCCGGGTGTCCTCACCGGGACGCCAACCGGCGACCTTCTAGCTGTGATGCTAACGATGCTAACGGTGCTAACCACCGAGACACCTGCAGCCCGTCCAGAAACTTCTTGGGGTGAAATAAATCGATTCATCTCATCATGTACACTTGTTGTTTCTCAAACCGTGGCACCAGAAGCATCATGCTGCTGCCTACCTGCTCCACCACCTGCCTGGACATCCTGGAGCTCTCCAGAGCGAACACCTGAGCAGAGAGACACAATCAGTGGATCATGTTCACCTGTGGAGCTGCAGCTCGTCCCCGTGAGGCCGACGTACCTTCTTGGCTCCCAGCATGTGGGCGAACACAGGCAGCAGACTCCCATCGCTGACGGACACACAGACGCCGTCGTCGTCTCTCAGCACCTGGATCCACATGGCGCCGCGTTAGCTCGGCGTTTATCAGAACCAGGTCTAAACGGAGCCGATGCCGTCACATCCACTCACCTGCCGCAGGGCGCCCACGTAGCTCTCCGTCCGCCGCCGGTCGTTGAGCTCGCCGAAACGTGGCCGGGTCCAGACCAGGTGAGCCTGACAGGTGCAGCAGGGCCGAGGGGGCGGAGCCTCGGTCTGGCAGCTCAGCGGGCTGGAAGCAGAAACTGGGTCAACGAATCTGAGGAATGTTCCCCCAGAACCTCCTCAGAACACCTGGTCCTGTACCTGCAGAACCTTCATCTACTGACCAGAGTTCCAGGACCTTCAAGTCCACAGAGGAGGCTCCAGGTCAGGTTCTCTGATGGTGGATTGGTGGTTCTTCTTCTAAACTTATCTCTTTAATCTCAGTAAATATTCTAGAAGCTGACACCAGATCAGTTCTGCATCCATCAGTCTGAACACTGGACCTGGTTCTGTTCAGCACCATGTTTTCCTAAAACTGACAACTACTGAGTCATTCTAAGTTGAATCTTTGTCATTTTAACGTCACTCTGAGTGAATTTTCTGGATCATTTATGAGTCCTTTTGGACAAAGTTTTGTCATTTTAAACTAGTTTTGCATCATTCGGTGCAATTTTGTGTAATTTTGGATCATTTTTGAGGCATTTTGGACAATATTCGAGTATTTTTGGATGTTTTCATGATATTCTGAACGTATGGAGTCATTTATCATCTTTTTTTGGTGGAACCTCCAACACTTGGTCGGTAATTATGGTCGACCTTCACGTCTTCTTCAACTATTTCAGACTCATGTTGGATAGATAACAGTAGTTTTGACTAACTGATGGAGGAAGAACACATCTGGGTTCTGGTAGAACCCGACACCAGATCAGTTCTACATCCATCCAGGTGTCTCAGTCTGAACACTGGACCTGGTTCTGTTCATGTCCTCTGGGAGCAGCTGGTAGCATCAGTATTATGGGATGGATCATAGTGGTACCAGTCTAATGTTTAATTCAAATGATTTCAAGTAAATCGATGACGTCGGAGCAGAATCTGATGACTGCTTCTGGTCTCCCTGGACCTCCTGCTGATGCTGGTGTTGCGTGTTGCGTTCTACACGCGTGTGCTGCAGCAGCGTCTACCTGAGGCTGAACCACAGGCTGTAGTCGTCGTGGCAGACGGTCAGACGCAGCTCGTCGCCTTCGCTCACGCTGCGCTCCGCCGGCAGGAAGTAGACGCTCTGCATCCAGTGGTCCCTCCACTGAAACACACGGCAGCAGCATGAGGTTCTGGTTCTGGTTCTGGTAACGTCTATGTTCATCTGTCAACTCAACAAACTGCCTCCTACACTGGTCCTCTGACCTCCAGCCAGCAGCAGCTTTATTCACTCCTGTCTCACTCGTCCTGTCTGGATCAGAACCAGAGTCAGAACCAGAGTCAGTGTGGGTTCATAATAAATAGAGCTGGTGCATGTAAACGGTTTAAAAGTCCAAAACCAGAGGATACAGACAGCAGTCAGAGGACGGCAGCAGCAGACGTTGGACCGGTTCTGTCCTGTTGAAGTTACTGAGGATCAGTCGGGTTTGTTCAGGCTGCTTCTGCTGGAGCTCAAACTAAACCCGATGCTTCTGTCCTGACTCTAACATCTGATTTGTGTCCCTTCAGCTGCTCGGTACCGCCTACCTTCCCTCATGGGACAGTAGAGTGAAGCTATCCGGTTTGTATTGGACCTCTGACTAAAGCTGCTGTTAGATAAGCTGAAGGCGGCGTGTCCTCACCGGGGCGTCCTGCGGCTGCCGGTACGTCCAGCTCGGCGCCATGCTGCACACGATGCTCCCGTCTGGATCCATGTCCAGGTCCCACCAGGACAGAACCACCTGAGCCCGCCCGCCGGACCGAGCCGTGAACTGGGAGCAGTGGGCCTGGAAGGAGCTGCTGACGGGTTTGCTGAAGTCCACGCTGACGGGAGGAGGAGGCTGTTAGTGCTGATGAAGATGATGATGATGGTGATGAAGAAGAACCAGCTCCTCCTCCTACCTGAACATGGACAGAACCGGGCCCAGCGGCGTGAAGCTGGACGGATCCACCTGGCTCAGCTGGATGTCGCAGACCGAGTGCGCCCCGGCGCAGCGAGCCACGGCCGGCGGCGCCGCCAGCCGGGCGCCGTCCACCTCCAGCGGCTGCAGCTGAGCCCAGCTCCACAGCAGCTCCGACTCCACCAGCTGAGCGTAGACGGAGGCCCGGTGAGGAACCGCCTCGCAGCCCGCCTGCACCGGACCGCAAGGAGTAGAACTTTAGAGGGAACGTGTTCCACCACAGGACGGTCAGAACATCACAGTAAACAGCCTGAGAGTAAAGCAGGGCCTGAAGGACTGGAAATAAAAGTGACTGGAATAGACGAGAATAAAAGAAATCTAAAAAAATAAAAATAATATAAAACAATAACAATTAAATCTAAAAAAAATTAAAATAATATAAAATAATAAAAATAAAAATAATATAAAATAATAATAATTAAAATAAAAAAACATAATAATTTAAATAAAAAATGTAAAAATAAAAATAATACAAAATATAAAAACAATGTGTAAAACCGGCAGTGAAGCTGACAGTAAAGTAAAATTAATAACATATATATATATTTTCTCTTCTTTAGTCTTTGGATCCATCAGGAGGATTTAACCTGATGAAGCTTCTGGACCTCTGATATTTTCAGTGGATTATTTTCTTTTCATCAGCTTAAACCAAACTACAAACTTTCAGGTATTTCAGCGGTCAGCAGACTGAATCCGATGAATTAAGCAGGACGTGGACGTGAACTCTGACCTGGACCAGGTTCTGGTGAGCGTGCTCGTAGCTCGGCAGCGCTCCTTCACCGATCAGCTCCGTGTCGAACAGCTCCGTGATCAGGACGTTGGCCTTCTCCTGCATGTCTCCGTCTGCAGACACAACCCGCAGTTACAAAGAGACAAACAATCACACATTAAGAGCAAAGAACTGGAATCATGTCTGAGATCAAAGTGGAACATTTCTGAAACAAAAACTCAAAACTTTCAGAGCAAAAAAACATTTTTCTGAAGCAAAAGTAGGAAATTTGTGAGACTGAGATTAAAATGGAAACTAAATAAAATGAAAGAGCTAAAAAACAAAAAGAGCTTTTTCTCTGAGATTAAAATGGACCCAATAATAAAAAAAATAATAATTTTAAGAGAAAAAAATGAATATTTTCTGAGATTTAAATTTATGATTGAAATAAGAAATTATTTGTAAAAGAAATCGTTTTAACAAAAGAACTCTAATCAGAGTTTACATTCTGATTACATTCCTGTTTATTTATCTGATTGAACACTTTGGTTTCCTCTCACAGACGTCAGCTAAATGAGGACAGAAGGATTCTGCAGCTGGAAACGCTTCCATTCTCATCTAACGGTTGGAGACGTCTACCTGGACCCACGGTGACGTCCGTCGAGTGTTTGTTGATGATCTTGATCTTGTCTGAAAAACCGTTTTTCTCCACGATGCTGCGAGCGGCTTCGGCCATCGGACGGAAAACCTGCAGGACCCAGAACGAAGTTTATTGATACGACGGGATGGAAAGTAGAGCTGCTCCTCCAGAGGAAACTTTATTTAAACTGTACCTGAACGGAATAAACTTTAATTAAAACTGCACGTCGACAGAATAAACTTTAATTAAAACTGCACGTCGACAGAATAAACTTTAATTAAAACTGCACGTCGACAGAATAAACTTTATTTAAACTGCATGTCGACAGAGTAAACTTTATTTAAACTGCACCTCGACGGCGTAGCAGAAGTCGGCGCCGGCGGTGGCGGCCATCATGGACAGAAGTCCGGTTCCTGTTCCGATGTCGAGGACGACGACTTTCTGGCCTCGAGCTCTGACTCTGCTGACGGCGGAACGGATCCCTTCGTAGTATTTCTGATTCTGGAAGACAAACACGTGCTCACATGATCTGACAAACAGTCTGAGTTCATAACATCTTCATCATTTGGTCGTTCAAGTCAAATATTCACGTTTTAATCCCAGAGTTTGACTTTTTATTCCAGACAAGTCATGATTTTACTGTATTTCATGTTTGTAACTCAGAAGGTCACAGTTTAGACTCGTGAGTCCATGTTTTTAACTTCTGAGCCCAAGAGTTTCTTTTCTTAGGTCATAATTCAGATGTATTCTTTATGTGACTGTTTTCACCTTTAAGTCCATAACTTTGACATGTTAAGTCTTAACTTTGTCGTAACAAGCGGACAGTGAGCCACGTAGAGAGTGAAGCATTTCACTTCTTAGCTCATCTTTTCCGTTTCCAGGCCAGATTTAGAACAATGTTAAATCTAAAATGTGACTCTGCATCGTCTAAACTGTACGTACCAAGTCAGCGTCTATCTCATATTACGACTTCATAAAGTCTAAATGCGTTTTATTATTCTTATCTCATAATCGGGACGTCTGACCTCCAGCCTGCTGTATTTTCTGTCAAACTGAAGGTTTGTGTTATTGGTTCATCATTAACATTAACGACAGACATAATCAAAGTGCTGACAGACGTTCTCACCCTGTCGTGGTCGTGCAGCATGTCGGCGTAACACGACCTGAAACACAAACACACGGCGATCAGAGGATTCTACACAAAACAGCAACAACAGGACAAACGGTTCTGTCTTTTCTTCAGCTGAATAGTTTCCTTTAATCTCATCTTACACATGGTTCAATAAATCCACACGTTCATCACATCCTTCATATCATTTTAATCTAGTCGGTCACACAATCATGTTTTATGTTATAATCGAACTTTAGCAGCACAAAGTTTTGACTTTTTAATTCAATAATTTAGATGCTTTTTGTTAATAATTAAGTCTAAATAATAAATAATAAACTTTATTTATAGAGGACTTTTCAAAACACACGTTACAAAGTGCTTTTCAAAAAATACATTTAAAATTGAAATAAAATAAGTACAGAGAAAACACAGAACAAGATGCTATAAAACAGAACTTAGATTAAATCAGGGAAAGCTCTCTGACAAAAATGTGTTTTAAAAGCGAGAACAGAATCAGCCGAATGTTCGTTCAGCTTTAAATCTAAGCTCATAATTGTGGTTTCATAAATAAATCTCATGACATCACTTCATCCTTTAAACTCTGAACTTGTCTCATAAGCTGAACTTAGTGGGTCAAAGGTTTCCTGTCTAAGCTCAGAACTTTGACTTTTTCTCTCATAATTTACTAGTTTTGATGATAATTTTACTTTTGTACATCAAAGCTTGAACTTTTTATTCAGAAATGTGGCTGATTAAACAAATCTAAACTGTGACCACATCTCATAATCATAAATTAGTCGGTCACAGTTTTCACTCTGTAGCTTTGATAATTCAAAGTTTGTACTTTTTATGTACATTCTGACTGTATCCCAGTGGCTCACAGCTCGGACTGTTTCTCTGATTAAACTTTTATCTCACAGGTTTAATGAATCACAACGTGTCTGACTCTGAACTGTTCCTGTTTATTTCTGGTCAAACTGTCAGAAAACCTCCTCGGACTCTGGGGGACTAAACTTGTGTGCCTCCCATCAGCCCTGTGAGCATCCCTCCGGGACCTGCCTGGCTATCTCCTGGTGGTAGTCGTACTCCTCGCTCTCCTCCACCCAGTCCAGCGCTCCGGTGCTCGGGTTCGCTCTCCCGCAGAAGGTCTTCATGTCGGCTGCAGCCGAACAAGAACCGCAGGAAGAAGAAAAACTAAAAACGGCTGCGTTCAACCAGAATAATGAGACGCGCGGATCAAAAACCAGCTTCACAGAAACAGCGTTGCTCCGAAGGAAGCCGCCATCTTGCCCGGCGACGTCACGAACTCTGGGTCACATGACCGACCACGTGACCGACATCCGGAAACGTTTTATATTTTCATCTTAAATAAATAAATAAACAAACAGAGAAACTGACATTATGAAAAAACTAAACTGGGATTGTCCGGAAGTTTAGAAAATGAAAAAATAAAAACAAATTCAGGCGATGAAATAGAAAAAATAAAAGAAAAAGTAATAAAAAGTGAAATTAGGACAAAAAAAACTGTGTCATGAAACAAGTGTTGAGAAAAACAAAGCACAGACCATTTTTTAAAAATAGTTTAATAAATAATAATACAATCTATAATCAATAATAATAATAATATTAATAATAATGATAAAGTCCTGCAAAGAATGTATTTATTGTAATAGAGTCATAACAGTAAGTTAAGTTAAATAATTGAATTATAATTTAATATATATATTTAATATATATGAGTAACATATTATTTACATATATTTCAATTTATTTATTTTAATTTTTTAGTTTATATTTCCACATTTAATTCACAGTTTGATTCTATTTATAATGTTCAACACTATGAAGCTTCATTAGAACAAACCTCCCACGATTGTTGAACATAATCACAAAAACATCCACCCATCATCTCTACACCTTCATCCTCACCAGGGTCATGGGGGGCGGAGTCTATCCCAGCTGACTCAGGGTGAAGGCAGGTTCACCTGGACAGGTAACCAGCCTATCACAGGGCTACACTTAGAGACAGACAACCAAGCACACTCACATTCACACCTACGGACAATTTACAATCACCAATTAACCTCAGCATGTTTCTGGACTGTGGGAGGAAGCCGGAGAACCCGGAGAGAACCCACGCTGCACGGGGAGAACATGGAGACTCCACGCAGGAAGATCCCGGGTGTCCTCACCGGGACGGGAACCGGCGACCTTCTAGCTAACGATGCTAACGATGCTAACCACTGAGACACCTGCAGCCCATGGTGGTGATTATTTAGATTCTATTTGTTAATTATCTTCTACAACAATCAAACTAATGAAGCAAAACAGCAGCAACATAATCAACGATCAAATCCAGAAGCTTCTAATCAGAACAACACGATGATGCTGATTTCATGAAGACTTTATTGACGTATTTATGTGACACGCTTCACGTTGTGCTTCAGAGGCAGAACAATAAAACATAAATATAATAAATACATTTCACACCTCGGATCAAAGAACACGCAGAATAAACGACGGCGATGAAAACGTGACTTTAAAGGAGATCTGAGAGAAGAATTAGCAGCTGAAGCTCCTCAGACGGAAGAACCTCAAAGAAAAACACGATTCAGTCAGAAACTCTTCAGTCTCATCATGGAACTCATAAACGTCAGTTTCTGTTCAGTCTTTGGTTATTTGAAAACACAAACACTTTGGGTTTAATCAGCTCTGTGACGTTAGAAACACGTTTTGATTCTGTTTCAGGGCCTCTGACTGATAAACATGGTGGACACACACTGATTCGTCCGTTTAAAGTTCAGTCAAACAGTTTTATCTGAAACATCCAAAGGTTTCCTCAAATAAAAACAGGAAGTCGACACTTTACGTAGTTTATTCAACGGACAAATAACAGGTTTATGTGTTCAGAACCACCCAGCAGCCCGGTTCTGGTCCGTAGATCTTCTGTTAAGGCCACTTAGAAGCTGCTTCATGAACATGAACCGGATTTGAGACTAAACTGGACTCTCAGCCGGAGAAACCACAACAGAAGGTCATTAAATGTGAATCTGTTCAGAAACGAGAGAAAAAAAAAGGTTCAGAAGTTGCCTGAGATGTGTCACAGTTTCCAGTTTTGTTCAGCGAGCCGGTGATCCAGTGGTAGACGTCAGACAGGACAGCTCAGATGAGTTAGTGGTGAAGGACGGGATTAATATGAAGAGCTAGAGGCCAGACGAAGCTCAGAGGGAGCAGCAGGATGGAGCTGGAGGACGAACGTCACCAACACGCCTGGATGTCAGAAAATCAACACAAACCTTCAACTCATAAAAAAAATCTGATGAATGCAGCAGGAGGAAGGAAAACGTGTGGCTGGATTAACCCTCTGAACCAGGAAATGTCCCGTCAAAGTAAAACTAAAACACTCATCGAAGCCAGAAAATGCAAAACCTGAAGAACTCCAGGTTTTTTTTTTTTTGAAGGTCCTCAAACGAATCATGTGATTAAAGCATTCAATCAGTCTGAGTTCATCAGAATCACTTCACGTTTCTCCTTCAAGACAAACTGACGTGTTGGACTGAGTGTGGCCGTGTTCACGCTGAGGTGGACCTGGACTGACTGAGTTCTGAAACGTGTGAAGCTTCTGTGGTTCAGAGGGTTAAATGACGTCACTCTGCTCACCAGCTCCATGAATCTCTGGTTCTGCTGCTTCCTGCAGGACGAGATCACTGAGAGGAGCACGGACCTGAACCAGCAAGTCGCCGCCTCTCAGACTGATCAATACGTCCACCAGAGTCTGATCAGTACCCCGATCCGGCCTCACGCACACTTGGCGGTGGGCAGGCAGAAGGCCATGGTGGACGGGGGCACCAGGATGTCGGTGAAGATGGGCCGGTACCCGGCCGGCAGCGGGGGGGCGCTCTGCTCCAGCAGGTCCAGCACCGAGCCCCGGACGTCCCTGGAGACGTCTCCCCGGATGTCGAGCAGGACGGAGACGTGCTCGTCGCTGAGAGACACGAGAGTAATAATATTATTATTATTATATATATTAATATTATTAAGACTGGATCTGATCCCAACGTCTGCAGGTCAAACGGAGCACTTTCACCTCATATATATATATACATGTATATAATATCATTATTATCTGATTTACTTTATTCTCTTTTTGCACTGTTTGACTATTTGATTTACTTGTTTCTGCTATTTCTATCTCTCTCTCTCTCTCCATATATATATATACATATATATGTATATGCATACATTCATATAATGTTTATGTCTTGTGTGTTTTATTCTTTGTTCCTATTTGTCTTATTATTACTGTTTTTGTTTTTGCACAAAGCATCTCACTGCGTTACACCAGGTATAACTGACCACTAAAGGCCTTGAATCCTTGAACTTCAGGCTGCTGCTCGTGCTCAGTTCTTCTACATCAGCGTCTCATTTCATCACTGTTTGATTTCATATTGTTTCTACGTCTGTTTTCATCCTACGGCGTCGCTTCAGGGCTGCTTTTAGTTCAAATCATCACGATTTAATTTCATGTTTTATTCATTTTATTTGATCAGAATCTTTAAGAGGCGTCGTATTTCAGTGCAAAGATAAAAACCCAAAGGTTCATAAAAATAGAGACGCACATGACCACCAAAAAATAGATATAAACACAAACGTACGATTAACAGCGAAATAGATCAAATAATAAATTAAAAAACGTCCCTTTTTGTGGATTTTTATTTCAGAAAGTTGTTTTTATAAAGTGTCATATCACTTTAATGCAGCTTTTTAAATTTAATTTCACATTACATTTTATTTTATCAGGTTCAGAAATCAACAAATACGACGTGTGAAGATAAAAATCCAAATAAAAATAGAGATGCACAAAAAGCAAAGGTGCAACTAAAGACAGAAATTCACAATTAGCAGCAAAATTTAAAAAATAAAAGAATAAAAATGAATGAGAAAATTAATCAGTAATGTCCCTTTCATGTGGATTTTTATTTACTAAGGTTGCCTTTTTAATTTCATGTCACTTTAAAGCAGCTTTTACTTTATTTCATTACTATTTAAATTCATTTTATTTGAATTTTTCTTACTATTAAGTCATTTCTTTATTTCATAATTTCATTTTTTAAATAAAAATGTCTTCGTGGCTTTTTTAATATCCACATTTATTTCCTGATCTCAGACTTTTTTTGGATATTTTTTTCTTTAATGTCATTTTTTTATTATCTTATGATTCATTTCATAGAGTGAAGGATTTAAATCTTTTTTTTTTTATCCCGTAACAGACTTGATTTATTAATAACGTCCCTTTTTTATCTTCTTTTTGTTTTATAACAGCACTTCTTTTTATTTCATTTGATAATGTCAGTTATGTTTCACATCATTAATGATCACATGATGTGGTTTTCAGCGTTTATTTAATGTTTGTTCTGGACGGCGTCACAACATTCATACACACATTAAACACATTTAATCCTTTTTGCTCTTCAACGCTCTTCTACTCTATTTATTATTCATGTTCTGTTTATTCCAGACCAGGAAACGTCTCGTCCTGATGCGTCACACCTGAGCGCCGTACCTGATGTCGGGGTATTTGGCGGCCAGTCCGGACACCTCCAGCGTCAGCATGTGGGGGTCTTTGAGTCGGATGAAGTCGGCGATGACGGGCAGCAGAGCCACAGGGTTGACCTCCGGCACCGAACCCTCGGCTTCCTGTCGGAGCGTAAAGCAGACGGAGGTCAGTGACGCCGTGGGTTTGGAGGGAAACGTGGAAATAAGTCGTCAGCGGACACGAAGACGTTCTGAAATACTAAAATACAGAATTATAGTCCAACAGCAGGACAACAGGACCCATAAATAATGTCCCGTATGGAGCTCCTGACTGTGGAGCAGTGAGAGTCTAAAACTACAAAAATAGTTCAATAAGAGTGGAAATAAAAAGAAGAATAAATAAAATAAAAATAAATAATGTGGCAATATTAA